CCAACTTTAGAATTACAAGATTTTTCTTGACTAATCAATCAGGGAAAGAGGTATTCATATGCAGCATGGTTGCCAGCAACTATTGTGTAGAGTTGCAAAATGGATGACATTCTTTCTTTCTTGACAATTTGCGGTGATGTATGAATCAATACTATAAATTTTGGACACAATTTCCACATATGCCAGGCATTCACTGTGGTTCTGCTACAAGAATGTGTTCTCTTATACGAATGTGCTCTCATATACATGTACATGTATGATGTGTGAACAAGCACCTGCCTTCAACAAATTTGCAAGGCCATTGCAATGTAACACAATTTATTTTCTAGTTTTGCCAACCACCACGCAAATGTTTGATAGCAAACATCATACACTATCAGCCCTAACTCACGATGTGTTGTGACAACATACCCAAAAATCATTTTACAGGGACACATATATATAATAAAAGCAGCAAACTATGCTGTTATTTTATCTTGTAAACGACAAATTCTTGCCAACCAGTCACTGCACACATGCATGCATGCATGTAAAATATAAACAATTGCGACGAATTATTATTTTTAATCTTTGCACCAATTATAAGTCAAGAGTCCTATGGTATGAATTATGCTAATAATACAAACCAGATCAATTCATAGTGAATCTATATTAATCATTCTTTACATTTCTTTCAATACAACCAACAATACCGGTACATGTAGGAAAAATATATACTATGTTTGAGACAATTCATTCATTCATTCCTTCCTTCATTCATTCATAAACAAACAAACATAGATTTGTACAAACAAATAAATAAATAATAGTTTTAAGTACATGTAGTCATTTTGAATACCATCAATGACATGCTGTGTTAGTAACCACATTCAAAATTGTCATTTGACTCCATGTTTTCATGGCAAGGGCCTGACTAGTATTTATGTACATGTACAGTCTTTGTAAATAACAACAATGACATGCCTTGTTAATAGCCACACAAATAACTTTCACTCAATTCCATGTTTTCATGGCAGGGGCCTGACTAGTATTTATGTACATGTACAGTCTTTGTAAATAACAACAATGACATGGCTTGTTAATAGCCACACACATAACATTCACTCGATTCCATGTTTTCATGGCAGGGGCCTCATTAGTATTTTTGTACATGTAAATGTAAACAGAAACCAACCCACCGGAAACAACAGTCACGAGCGGTGAATACCGGCACACGAGGATAGTACCGGTAACATTTTACTCAGTGTTATGGGTCTATAAATCATGTGTATAAAAAAAAGCTATTTACACGAAACGTATTACTGCAAACAGTGTTGATATTTTTAATACATAACTTTGTTACTGGAGTTTATGTGTAGCCTTCGACGGCTTTAGTGAAAAGTATAGGATGTTAACATTCTTTACAAACCTGGATGAATCTGTAATTTGCCGATGACTCCCTCGACCTGTCCAAGACAAACTGGGTTCCAGGCCGTACATAAATCGGAACCTAAAATAAGTAAGACCATACGTTACGTTCACTCTATGCTCGCTGTCATTTGTGATAGGACTGACTTAAGATTTTCCCTTCAAATTTAATAAAATCTGAAAATGGTTTTGTAAAATTTACGAACTGTATTTGGGAAATGTTTGCTATTTCTTGGTCTCTTTTCTCAATTATGAATGTTATCAACAATCCAATGAGAGCCCAGTCACTATGCATGAGTGTGTGTGTGGGTGTGAGAAAGAGCGAGATGGGAACTAAAAGCTCTGAGAGAGCGTGAACAGAATAAACATCAACATAACGGTACAGTGTAGACAGTCCGAACGGAAAGGTCGAAAATGAATAGTAGGTTACTAACCACTTCTCGGCGAAAGACGACCGTCAAATCGGTTACACCACAAGCTATGCTCTCCATCTTGTATAATGTAATGATCGTGCGCCTGAAATAATTCCATTTCTTATGCCCTGTCACGAATTTTGCGGATGCCTGCTGACGAAAGGTCGTCTACTCGCCATTTTAAACTCCCATGAGCCACTTTCACAAATACGAAAGTAAAATTGTACATCACCTGATGTGGCGCACTTTCCACCTTCTGCATTGTACGACGCATTCAGGGGGGGAGTTGCATGACACGATTGGTTGAAATAATCGTCTCATTTGCATAAATTAATATTCATGACAATGAAAAACTCGTTTTTTCAGTAATATTGTGCCAAAATGCTTTCCGATAGCATACATGTTAGTTCTAAATTGACTGATTCTATCGTTACGAGCTGAAAAAATAATCGGAAAAATGATGTAAAGGTATTTTTTGAGACACGTTTTCGATCAGATTCCAGCTAACTGTTGAAAGTAAGCATATGTTTTCTCTTTACCATGATCATAGCAAGTTACGAAATTCATGTAGAAGACGCCGAACTGCAGCGTCAATGCCCCTGGACGCATTGTACCATATCTCGGTGGTGGATATCCGGGCATTTTCTACCGCCTGGCAACCCTCGCGGTGAAAACAAAGACCAAAAACTCGCAGAAAACGATACTTTGCGATGGTTGTTGAGAGTTCCCTGAACAGTGTAACAAGATTAGCCCTACATGTGTAACATATATGAATTTGGTTGTTCAGGATTACTTCAAAGTTGAGTTTGTGTTGTTTTCTCGAGTTTTCACCGGCTCCACCGGCGTTCCACAGCAGCGCGCACAGAGCCCATAGAAATACGTGGTACAGTGGTGCGCGTCTTAGCAACGTAGAACGTCCGTGACGTAGCTCCGCCCCGAGGATAGACTGGGTTCACACACGCACACGCACACAACGTGTATCACCGGTACCAAACTTAGGTTGAAACAGCATTCAATCGACCATGAATACATATACATGAATACATATATCGATAATATATATATATATATATATATATATATGATAAGATAATTCTTTATTACAACCATATTGAAAAAAATGTACAGTAAAGAAATGTTACTGGTACTTGAAGATGAAAATTAAAATATTACATTTCCAAGAGTATTTGTTTAACATTGATAATATTGTTTTCTTTTGTATATGCTGTTTTTTATGTATTTATTCTTTTATCAATAGTCTGTTCTCAGCATTTAAACTTTGAAATGTAAACAAGTTTTTCTGTGTTATTTGCTTGTACAACATTTTCAATTGATTCTGAAAAAAAAATATTTTTGGTTTTTTGTGTCTTCCAGATTCAATGATTAATTTATGTGCACTTAGCCTTAGTCTAGAAAGAAGGCCAATATCCTTTCTGTTTTGTACTGTTTTTAAATATTTGGCTATTTCAATCTTATTTTTTTTAATAATTTATATGTTTTGAGATTGGATCATTATTGCTGAAGTACCATTTTGTTTCATTGTATTCTTTAGTTTTCTGTTTAAATTTATCTTTGTTGATGTTTTCCATGTTGTGTATATATTGTAAATTTGTTGTATGTTCTGAGTATTTGTAGACCAAGAATCTTTTTATTGATTTTGTGACAGAATTGAGCCAGATCACCAACTTTTAATTTTTAGTGTGAAACAAAATCGCAACGCTATAGTAGCTTCGAATGTTGCACCGGTTACAAGTGATGATCCAATAATTTATAAAATAGACTGGGATGAAAAATATAGCGAAAATTTTCACCGTTTTTGGAACGGAGAACGCGCTGCTTTCATGTTGGAATCAATTTATGATTTGATGAGTAGCAATAGTTTGGATGAGTCAATTACTCGTAGTCTCGTATTGTTGATCTTTTATATACTGCCGCAGCTGAAATGAAACATGTAGTCAAAAATGGGAGACCAAGGCAGCATGAAAATTCAACAATTTGGTATGATCAGGATTGTTCCGTTGCAAAAACCATGGCAACTAGAGCACTGAATGAATTTAGAGGAACCAGAACACATAACTCGCTCGATAACCTAAGAAAGCAAAAAGCCAGTTATCGGAAATTATTGGCACTAAAGAAAAAACAATTTGAAGAGAGAGAGAAATTTAAACTACTGGAAGCATCCAAACAAACAAATTCAAATAA